TTATTTAGTGGAAATTACACTGTACAAATTAGTGAAATAGGTTTAGTTCAAAAAAGTTAAAATTTCACTATTTTATGTCGAGAGTTCTGGAAAAGTAGTGATAATAAAAAACACTAATTTGGAGAAGTTAAAATTTCACTAATTTATATTGAAAAACACTAATTTTACAGTGAATAATAACTCACTGACGGAAATAGTGAAAATTTCACTGTTTCACTTTTAGAGAGTAGGTATTACACGAACTAAACATTTATAAAAAAAATTATAAAAAAATAATGGTGTTTTAAATACTAATATTAATCAAATTAAACCCAAAATATTAATTAATGAACTATTATATACAGGGTGTTTCATAATATATGCGCAGGACTCCAGGATGTGATAGCTCATCCAAAAAAATAAAAAAGGTGCTATTAACTTACCCTCTAAAATGCACAATTTTCGAGATACAGGGTGTTGAAATTTTAGAAAAAAAATCGTTTTTTTCAAATATCTCCGGAACCGTTTATCGTACAAAAAACAGCTTTTGTACGCATTTTCTACTCATAATAAGCTATGTTTTGTATCAGAAAAAAAATTTTTGTACTCATAATTGGTGGAGATTTTGAAGGGGTAGCGGGTGTTTTTCTCCTCAACTTTTACGGCCCTGAAAAAAGTACGGTTTTGAGAGGCCCATTCAAACCGCCAATGTTTTCTACACAAAAAAGGTAATCCTGGTCATAAGCTCTAAAGTTTACCGTTTTCGAGAAAAATCAACCTTTATGTTTAAAAACATGGTAAATTTTTGGAAAAAAAAATTTTTTTACTAATTAAATAAAATTTATTTTCACGTTAGAACAAGTAACAAAACCAAAAGATAATTGCAAAATTAAAAAAAAAATAAAAAATGATTTAAAAGTTGAATTAAATGTTGGAAATGTCCACCGTTAGCTTCAACGCACGCAGCAATTTTCGACGCATTGACTGTCTAACACGCAGGAAAATTCCCGGAGTGTTCTGAATTATGTCGCAAGATGCGTTTTAATTGGTCAACATTTTCAACTGGAATAGCGTAGACTAGGGTTGTTAGATAGCCCCAAAAGAAAAAATCTAAACTATTAAGTTCGGGAGATCGCGGGGGCCAAGGGTGCGGACCTCCTCGACCGATGCAACGGTCTTGGTATGTGTCGTCCAAGTATTGGCGAGCAATAAAACTAAAGTGGGCTGGAGCTCCATCATGCATAAAACACATGTTCTGTCTTACACAAAGCGGTACAACTTCCAGCAGTTCCGGCAGTACTTCTTCAAGAAATTGTCGATAATCTGCACCGTTTAATCTGTTCGGTAAAAAATGTGGGCCTATCCAATGATCATCGACGATGCCAGCCCAAACATTCACGGAAAATTGCTGCTGATGATGGCCTTCTGAAATTTCATGTGGATTTTCTTCAGCCCATATGTGGTTATTGTGAAAATTGAAAATACCATCTCTCGAGAAAGATGCTTCATCGGTAAACAGAACTTCGCCTCCAAACTGAGGATTTTGGGCTATTTTGTCTTTCATCCATCTACAAAAAGCCAATCTTGGCTGAAAATATCTTGGCAATAAGGCTTGTACTCTTTGGATATGGTAGGGATACAAAAGTTGTCTTTTCAAAATTCTCCAAATCGTCGAGTGATGCAGGTTTAAGCTGTGAGCTATTTTTCTGGTACCTGTCTTCGGATTTTCTTCAATTTCGTTGAGGACAGCCTCTTCTACTTGGAGATTTGCAACTTGCATAGGCCGCCCATTTTAATTTTGTAATACAAACTTGCTTTTTGCAGGTACAAACTAATTGTTATTTTGACAGGAGGTAGCTTTTGATTTAAAATTTAAAGCCTACTTGATAAAAAAAATTATACATTTTTTACACAAATGCTGAAATGTGCGAAATGCGTTACCTTTACGGTTTGGGGAATTTTGCAAAGGCAACTTTTGAATCATTTTGCAATTATCGTTTGGTTTTGTTCTTGTTCTAACGTTAAAATAAATTTTGTTTAATTAGTAAACAATTTTTTTTTTAAATTTACCATGTTTTTAAACATAAAAATTGATTTTTCTCGAAAACGGTTAACTTTAGAGCTTATGACCAAGAGAACCTTTTTTGTGTAGAAAACATTGGCGGTTCGAATGGGCCTCTCAAAACCGTACTTTTTTCCGGGGCGTGGAAGTTGAGAAGAAAAACACCCGCTACCCCTTCAAAATCTCCACCAATTATGAGTAAAAAAAATTTTTCTGACACAAACATAGCTTATTATGAGTAGAAAATGCTAACAAAAGCTTTTTTTGTAAGATAATTGAAAAAAACGATTTTTTTTCTAAAATTTCAACACCCTGTATCTCGAAAATTGTGCATTTTAGAGGGTAAGTTAATAGCAACTTTTTTCATCTTTTTGGATGAGCTATCACATCCTGCGCATATATTATGAAACACCCTGTATATATAAGTAATATTTTAAGTACCAGTACACATTTGCATAGTTTTGTTACTCTAGCTTATACTATCGCTAACAAAAAAAACTCATACAGCTTAAAAATCTAGTGTTCCTGATTTTCTATCATTTCGTTGGAGTAATTATGGCTTTTAACATGATACGTCACATTTGAAAGGTCTAAAATTAAATAGAAAGTTAGGTTGAAGTTTGAAAAAAAAAATAATATTTCGTCATCCATCTGTTTTTGTCAATTACTGCCCGCAAACGGCAAAGCATGGAAGTCGCCGTCTTGCTTTATCTCGTTCCAAATGGCTTCAATGGCTTGCCAGAGTTCGTCTGCATTGTTTGGTTAAAAATGTTAAAAAAAGTCATAATGGATGTGACAAAGCTCGATGTCAGCTTGACATTGAAGGAAAAGTTTTATTCACACAGCCACAATATAGCTGTATGAGTTTTTTTTGTTAGCGATAGTATGTTAAAACGAAAATCAACATATTAGGAAAAATTATGTATTAAGATAAATTAACTAATGATTATAAGAAAATATAGGTACTAGGAAACTTAATGGGGGATGCTTCAATTAATCCCTCTTGAACCTGAATAAATTTTGCTAATCGTCTTTTACAACTTTTCATAATATTTTTTGTTTGTTTTTCTGTGATTAACCTTCACTTTGTCGTACTCTCTTTTTAAGTTCGTTAATGTTGATAGGACTAGTACAATAAACCTTATCTTTTAAAACACCCCACAGGAAAAGATCCAGTGGCGTAAGATCGGGTAACCGATAATGTTATGACTGTTGTTCCCAATGCATTTTCCAGGATATTTTTTATTTAGCCATCTTCCATTTGAAAAATCAAATTTTGACGTTAGGCAAAAAGTAAATCCTCTTAACCATTCCATAATTCAGTATTTAGAAAGTTTAAAATTCTTGGGTATATTCTTGGTTTACGTTAGACCAATACTTGTAATTTTGGGAAAATACCACTCCATTTGTTTGTAAAGGTTGCTTAATCAGTAAACATAATTTTATTTAAAAATTTACTACCTTCACTAAAATGTATATTTATCGTTTTCTTGCTTTTCAAGGATCCAATTCGGTAGGTACATTTATTGGTGCAGAATAAACTAATGATAACTAAACCTAATATAATTTATATTTAAGTTTGAACATTTTTAATAAATCTAACAAAAAATAATATTTTACAAAAAAAACCTTAAACTGAAATATTTTTATATTTGGGTACCTACTTTAAAAAATCGCCGAAACTGCATTTTAAAATAGTAAACGACAAAATATATGATGACAACATAATATTATATATAATACAATGTATGTCATAATATAATACCCGTTTTTGTTTTTTTACCGTTGAGTGAAGACTTTCTCAATCAACGATTTTAATAATGCAAAACACAGTTTAAATTTAGTTTTATAATTTTGACTGAATTGAAATATTTACAATTTTCACGTAAATCATTACTAAAGTGTGTAGTATATTTGCGGAGACTGTATGCAATTTATTTCTTTATTCGGATTTTCACTGTTTATTGGGAAACCGGTAAAAAGTCAAACCAGGATTTCCCCTCGATAAACACCCAAAAACACAACAAATCGTTTAATTTTTTTTGTCTATATTTTTATTATTATTATTCTCAAAAAATACTCGTTTGTAACATACGCATTTCACAGCTGATTATTAAAAGTTGTAGTTTTGTTACGATAATAACGACCACGTTATTAGCGATGCTTCTTTAGCGTATACAGTGAATTTAAGTTTGTTACAATTTTTGTATAACCAAAATGGATACTGCAAATGAACGTAAGTAATTGAATTAGTAATTTGTTCGATAGTAAGTCTACTGAACGGAAAAAGAATAAAAATTTCAACTTTCCCCGTTATCGGTTTTCCAGCCACCTTTTGACTCGAGAAAAACCGATTCACAGACTCAAAAGCAACAGAAAAAATCTGTTCAAAATTTGATTGCGAGTCGATCCATACATTTGAAGTTCCATCTATCGGTGCTCCTTTACCGCCGCGGCGGCGCTAAATTGTTAGTATCCGACAAAACGTGATCTATTCGGCCGAAGCCGATGTTTGTTTATTTTAAGACCTTTAGCTAAACCGAAGGTACATAATTTTATTAAATAAATTTATAAAAAATTTAACATTAGGCCCAACAATCAAACATTTTTTTTTTTTTAGAGAATCGGCTAAGACGAAACTATTTGATATATCTTTATGGAGATATAAAGACTTTTTAAGCTGTTTTTGCACAATAAAAGTACCTGTAGATGAAAGTGAATTTTTAACCGACCAGAAAACCTTTTGAAAAATGATAATCGGAACAGTTGATAAAAAAACTACAAAAATACTCGAAAAGAGATTGACGCGTTAAACTAAAATAGAACAAAGAAAGATAAGTCATGACCAATACAAAAAATCTGAAATAGGCAGACCATATCAATCAGTGCCATCTAGTCTAGAAGAAGAGACTTTTTCATTAAATCAGTAGATAGTATCGATACTCCTTCAACTTCTCAAATGAGAATAAAACTACCAAATGTAGCACAGGCTTGTGACAGGATAGGTGTTTCTGATAGGGGAGCAGCAATTATTTTTAGTACAGCATTAAAATATATGAGAATAGTTACTCCTGAGGATTCATCAAAAATTGTCGATCGCAGCAAAATTCGAAGGGAACGAATAACTAGTCATGAAGGAATTTCATCCAAGAAAACAAAGGTTGAGGAGCATATAGTCCTAGTTTCAGGACCAGGTCATTTAACTCCTGCATCTGACAAATCGCAAAGTATAAAAAAAGCATTCTAGAATTTTTGGAACATAATTTTGACGTTTCTAACCTGCAGGCAATAGGTTTGATGATACAGCAGTAAATACCGGTTCTAAGAATGGAATTATCAGACAGCTTGAGCTTTCCTTGGGTCATTCCCTACAATGGTTTGTTTGCCTATTACATGCAAACGAACTACCTTTAAGACATTTGTTGCAACATTTGGATGAAAAAACTACTGGTCCAAAAGGATTTCATGGTGAGATAGGAAAGCTATTAGAAAAATGTGAAACCTTACAACCTTTAAATTTAAAAAAGGATATAAGTTATTTTGCCTGAAATCCCTGACCATGATTAAATTAGCACAGACCAAAAATACCTGTATAACATTTGTAGTGCCATCTCTTTAATCTTGTCAAAAAGAAACCCCGGTAAAATGGCTTATTCCAGATGGCTTACGGCCGCAAACAGAATTTTACGATTATATGTCTTCACAGCAAAACCATCACAAAATCTAAGTATTCTAAGAATACGTCATGAAAATATATGCCCCTACATGGTTTGCAAACAAAACCCAACCATCATGTCGACATGGGAGCAAGCATCTATTTGGTATCATTGAAAAACTTACATTTATACAAAGGAACGGCTATTTTGGTCATCCTGAAAACCTATCATTGGCTATGTTGGCTGATAGTCGTAATTCAGCGAGAGAACTAGGTCTTAGAAGATAATTAAAGTGTAGAACAACAGAAAACCAACAAGAAAATTTCTTGGCAATTTAAATTCTCGTATTTAACGAAAATTCAAATTGCCCGCTCTTAATTTTGATGCTGAAAACTACATAGATATGATTAACTGGTACTCAACATCAACAACAATAACAGAACCTCCCCTAACAAAACGTATTTCCGATGAAGAACTAAAAGAAATGATTTTAGATGTTCCAACAGAAATTAAAATTTTAAAATATCCATGCCACACGCAAGCAGTGGAAAGGTATATCAAATTGGTAACAGAAGCGTCAGCTTTATAAGGGCACGAATTGCTTTAAGAGCAAGTTTGTCAGCATTCGATACAAAAAGTCAATACCTTGGGCCTAATGAGCAGTAGAAGATGGCCCCTTTTTTCTAGAACAGACCCTTGTATTAGGCAACTTTAAAAAAAAAATGTCGATGCCTTTTTAAATGTATATAATTTTTTTTCATTAAACAATTACAAACGACGAAATTTAAGGAAAAGGAATATAACTAGTTTGGTAGTGATATGGTTGTGTAAAGAAATCACTTTTAATGTAAAAATACTAGTTTCTAATATAAAACACGGTAAAGTTCAATACTTTTTATTAGCAAATTCGAACGATTTTATCAAAGTTTTCGTGAAAATTCGAGTACAGTTTAAATGATGCAAATGGTGCAAAAAGTTGTCTTCCACAGTTTTTATTCTAAGACAAATAAAAAAGTCTGTCTCGTTTAGCATCTTAAAAATGACATATTTCTCTCTCTTTCATTCGCATTTAAGTTATGCGACGATTCTCTGGGGAAACTCCAGCTACGCTGTTGCAGCCTTCCGTCTTCAAAAGAGGGCTATTAGACTATTATGTAATGTGGGAAACAGAGAAAAATGTCAACAGCTTTTTATAAAAATAGGCGTAATGCCCTTACCAACGCTTAACATATATTTGACATTATTAAAAATACATAGAGAAAATGATCAATTTACTTGCGGCGGAGACATTCACAGTCACGATACTAGGGGCAAATCACAAATCAGAATTCCAAAATATAGACTCTCCAAAGTGTCGAGAAACTCACTAAACATCAAATTATACAACGTATTACCCTCAAGATGCAAGGCTCTCAACTATGTAAAATTTAAGGCAACCATAAAGGAAACCTTGCTCACTTACTGTTTTTATTCTGTAGACGAATATGTCATGAAAATGGGTCTTTCAGACTTTCATCAGCGTTTCTCTCTCAATTAAACTCTGTGATAATATGTATGTGTAATGTGTATGCTGTAACTTGTATGTTGTATGCCTTATGTTATTTACATATTTATGTATATATGATATATTTATTTTATATTTATTTTATCTTGACTTGCCAAAAATGTTAAATGTAAACATAATGTGGCCAAATAAATGATTTGATTGATTGATTGATTGATAACCTTATATTATTGCTAATTTAACTAAGTATACTTATTTTTTAAGGAAATATTTTAACAGCGTATTTTTTAATTTCTGATAATGTTACTCAAATGGACTTGGCTGGGTTTGATGTATACACTGAGGGTATCTGTAAGATTTTATTTGACAATTTTTAAAAATAAAGCACAACTAAAAATAAAGAAATGGTTTAAAGGAACTTTATGCATAAAAGGCCAACAATAATATTTTGTCTTAAAATTCATTTGTAAAACATAATTTAAAGTGCAACTTTTACGGCAACTTGGCAACATTGTTGGTCGTAAAATAAACTTCCTTGCAGACTTGCATACAAATGATTCTAACTAGAAACTCGTTATAGATTATAAACATAATTAAGGAGATTATCCAGAAGATTGAACTTTTAAATTCACTAAAAAGTTGGGAGTAAAAAGATTAATCGGTTTTTTATTCGATGTCGTTGATGAAAGCAGATTGAATTTATATTATACCAATAAATAAATTAAAAATATGTATAAATAAAAAACCAAACCATTACGAATAAAAAACCATTTTGTATTGTATTGTATAAATAGTGATATGTACCCAAGAGCCAAACTTTATTAAGTCCACTTTTTAAAATCACACTACAAGTTTTGTGCATACATTTTTCTGCTCTTTCCAAAGGTAAACAGGATTTAGTCCTTATTTCTTAAATTTTTGAAAAACTATGAAAGCCCGGACTTAATCCAGTTTACCATTGGAAAGAGCGGAAAAACGTGGGCAAAAAAAGTTGACTTAATACAGTTTGTCTGGGGCACACAACATACAGCTTTGGCTTCCACTGCTTTTTACGGGGTCTTTAAATTTTTCGCTCGTAAAATTTGTTTCTTCATTGGAGATAAGTGCTACTGGAATACCATATCTGCTAAAGTGTTTCTTATTTTTTTGTTCATCCCACTTTTTAAGTGTCATTATTTGAATAAAATTGCATCTCTACTGCTATTAGAAATTTCTTATTTTTATCGTTAATGTTCAAATAAAATGCTTTAACTTAACAAAAACATATCTAGAAATTATTTGGTAATAATACTCTGGTATTTCGTGTACCATCATAGGTTATTTTACTTGATTTTATTATTATAATAAACTAATGTTCCTTTAGCGTTTATTACAGGAAAAAGTACTTTATCTTGATAGTGTTATTTAATTTTATATCCTAGAATGGCTTCTATGTAGCGTTAATAAATGGCCATATACAATGTATATTATACATGTCTTTGCCTGTTTTGTTTATTAGTTTTATATTCTACCTTTATATTGTATTATGCTTTGAATTCGTTCCAGTGCATTATGGCTTTTGCCATATTGATTAGTGGTTTGTGGTCTGTTTCTATTTCTACATCTTTTTTTTACAAATATATTTGTCGAACCGTTGGTATGCAAATAGGTTAGCGGTTGCATTCTTTTCCAATTTACAATATTTTTTCTGTTGTCTTAGTTGCCTATGCTATAAGTAAGTTTTCCTTTAAGAAATTACATCCAACTGACTCTGATTATGCATCTGTTTGTATTTTAGAGGGTTTGTAAGATCATAATGCTGGTGGTGATTTAACTAGTATTTTTAGTTCATAAAATGCTTTATCATGCTCTTTCTTCTATAGATATTTTTTATTTATATGACTGCTACTTAATAAGTTCTTAATAGTTCTGCTTTCATATTTGGCTTTATAATGTCTTTTATTGCTGCTATTTTTATTGGATTGGCTGTTCAGATATGACGTGATCATACAATTTTACTTGCTTCTAGCAGTTTTTCTTTGTTAAATTTCTATTCTCTTAAACAATTTTTCTAAATTGTAATTTTGATTTTAATATTACAAAATTTTTATAAATTTTTAAAATCTACATTATTTTCTATTGCTATTTTCTCAGGTTCAGTACTATAACCAATGCCACTCGCCAATATATAATTCTGTCTTTTAAAGTTAAAGGTCTAAAATTTTCTTTAATTTCTACTTCTTTTACTGTTAATTCTCGAGTTTGTTGAAATGCGTAACTAGTTTTAATGATTACTTCAACTGCTTGATTTTTTCCTTGAGTATTCTTTGCTTTTCTTCTTTGCTTTATTTTTTTTATTCATTGTTTTTGTTTACTTGTTTAATTTTGCATTTGCACAATTTATTTGTTTGTAACTACCATAGAAAAATATAATAATAATATAATATATTATATTACTACTATTTTTCGTAAACTATACTCATACGCTAATACCATATTATATATATACTATCTACAAAATATAATAATTTAGTAATGGTTATAAAACTGTTCATCAACTTCAAGTATAAACTAAAGATATAATTAATAATGTGAAAACGCTGCACGACCTAACCTTTTTATGGGGGCGAGCGAGAAGTGGGTATAGGGGGTTTCACACCTCCAAATTTTAAGGAGTCGGCCGACTGCACCTTCAGCTAATGCCGACTATCAGGATTATAAGGCAAGTTTATGGTCTTTTTGATGGAAAATCGGGAGTAATTAAAATATTTTTTTGTAGTGTTTCTCAACAATAAATAGACAATTTGCACTCAAAAACCTACGTGATGCTTTATTTACCCTTTAAAATGAAACAAAAGTAGACAAAATTGTATGATGTTTTAATTTATAATAATATATACGAGGTTGCTGCAACGCGTTTCATACCCAAAACATTTAAAAAAATTTCATGGGATGAGCCAATCGATATACCAACATCAGCGACTTCTCTGATGGTTTATAACCATTTCTTCCACTTTTTTCATATTTTTATCGGTTGTTACTGTGCTTGTGCGTTCGGGGCGTTCGTCATCTTCAACGTCTTCACGGCCATCTTGGAAACTCTTATACCACTTGTAAACTCTTGTTTTACTTATAGCAGACTCACTATAGGCCTTTGTTAACATTTCACAGAATTTATTTTTTAAGCAAAATTGGATACAAATTCTCTTTGATCCATTTCTTTTAACGAACGAAAATCGCCGAGCTCATAAAACACGTCTAACCTTAGCGGCTGCCACAGACAAAGTAAACATTGAAAACAGCTAAAGTTTTTATCATACTTCGGGGGCATGTATACAAACATAATAAATAAAATTTTATGACAACCGGACCCTCCGAAGCCGCGAAATTTAACAATTCCCGTTATTTTTTGAACACACCTCGTATGTATAGATTTTTTGGGTTTACAAAAAAAACTATAATAATTTTTTTTATTGATCCTGATCAGCATCTAAACCTGAATAGTAACTAACCATGTTACTAAGAGCCCCGTAAATATCATCAAAATGAAAATAAATTTAAAAAGTCAAGGGTGCCCATTTTAAATTACAAAGGCTTTACAGTTTTATATAAAAAATTATTATTTTATCTTTAAGAGTTCTATAATTTAAACTTTATTATTGTCAACACTCACGTAATTGATTATCGAATAGGCTATAAAAATAGGTTAAACTAATGAGATAAAAACGGTCAGATCTACCCCTCAATTTTACTTTTCATAATTATTATTAAATTGTACCTTTAATGTATAGTTAAACAAATAAAATTGTGCATTTAAGAAAAAATGTTGTATTCTATTAGGCTGAGAAGTGTATTTTTATGCTTCGCTCAATTGTAGACCCCCGCTACGCGTACGCCTTTAAACTTTAAGGTCAGCACAAAAAGACTCACTTCTCATTCTAATGACATAAATTACTTTTAATGTTCCCGGACATCCACATGTAATTTATTTAGCATCAATTTTATACTATAACTCCATAATTAATATAGCCTAATAAAGCCTATTGAATGAATTAAAAACAAATAGTTTTGCCAAAACCCCCATTTTCCATTTAAATGAAAAACACTTTAAACCCAGAGGTAAATGGTAGTGACCTACAAATTGAGATTTTTATTTTTTAAACCAACTCATTAAAGTTATTTCTTATAATCAAATAAAATCAATAGTTATAAGCATTTATTAAAAATGAGCTGCAACGTTTTAATAATATCAGCTGGCCGGTGATACAAAAGAGCGTCAAAATTGTATGTCAATTTCAACACATGTGCTAAATCCAATTAATTGTGTGAATATTGAAACTTTAAATAGGTCAATGGTACTTAAAATTTCCCTTTTGTTAATTTTATTATTTAAATAAAAAAATAATGTATTTTTATTAATTAACTAATTAATTAATTTTATTAATTTGGGTAAAATTAAAATTTTTATGAAAAATCTATTTATATTATATATAAATTCTTTCATTGTATTAAATATATATCTTAGTTTTATTTTAGACAAAATATTTTTTTTTATTTAAATTTTAATATATTATACAGAGAACTGCATAAAAAACGGCCATTGCTGTAGCATCGTTATTCCTTATCCGATTTTCAAAATTCAAAAACCAGTTTGAATGGTATGATGTCTTCTATGATTCGACGGTTAAAAATATTTTTTTTATTATAATGCTAGTGAGCACTGATAGTCAACTTTTATTTTTCAAATGACAACTATATTTTTTATTATTTTTTCGCATTTCTTATTCTTTTCTGAGCATAACGGTATATTAATATCATAATTTTAATTATAAAACACGAAGAAAAAAAATAAAACTGCGAAAATTTTTACAAATCGCAGTAGCATCAGGACACCCACAAAATACTTCCAATTTAATAATATGCGTATCCATGGTTATGACTTTTATAAAAATAAAAATGCCAAGCAGCATCAATAAAACAAACAGATTTTTTTAATTTTATACTGAAACAAAACCAAAGTAATACATAATATAGTATAATAATCATAATATTATTAATTGTTTCGACCTTTACTTGATGAAACTCCATATTAACTATGTAGATATAAAAACAATTTTGTTGTAAAGTTTCACGAAATTTATTAAATTTTGACAGCTGTTTCGCTACACAGTAGCTTCATCAGAATGTATTAAAACTAAAGATTGTACAAAATATATATAACAAAAAATATTGGTATTCTAAGTAAGGATAATCATTTAACATCTACCTGTGTTACATAATAATAAACTAGGATCACATTCAGAAATACCTAATGGGGAAAAACCTAATCTGTTTATAGTTTGTATTTTATTTATTAAATATTATAAAAGTGTGAATATTTTATATAATGCTATTGTTATATGTTAATAAAATTAAAATAGATTTAAAAGTGGTGAATTATTAGTTTCTATTTGATCATTGAGAATATTATTAGTATTTTTAAGTTTATTAATTTCTAGAGATTCGAGTAGATTTAATTTAATACCTTTGTTTTCCAACAGATTTCCCATAAATTATTTTTAAAACAAAGCCTATAGAGGGAAATATCGCACATGGGTTTAATGAAAAAATATTAATTTTCTAATTTTTTATTAACAATAAAACTTTTAACAGTGCTTTTAAAAAAGAAATTTATTCTACAATTCATCGTCAATGATTTTTTGTTTGTATTATCACAACAAACTTAATCCAATGGAATGCATTAAATAGGAGACGACAATAATGTGTGTGGAATAATAATATAGTGTAACTTTTGAAATATGAAAAATATTAAAAAATCATTTTTATAAAAGTTGTTTTGTAGTTCATTTCAAATTTTATGGTAAATTGCCAACTTGTGCAAAAAAATAGGGATTCAAATTTTTTCCCAAGTTTTTTTAAATTGTAACCACCCTTTTTATATCAGAATCAGGGGCTATTTTTTTAATTACAATGTTCTATTATTATTAGTATGTTACATAAGAATACTTTTAAGCAAAACTGCCTAAAATTGTATAAACCATTTATTTAAAATGGTGCATAAAAAACAATAAAAAGATTACATAAAGTAATTAAAGTGTTTAAAATGTACACTGTTAAAGGCAAGACAGTGGCCTAAACGATTTTCGAATTATTGTTTAACATTTTATAGCCAAACGTCTTGAACATTATGAATTTCGTCAAATGTTCTTGTTCTGAGAACCTGAAGATTGTCCAGCATATTTTTATACACCACTGACTTAAAATGACCCCAGAAAAAATCCATTAGTCTTGGGACCTAGCAGGTCACTTTATTGGCCCTCGTCTACCAATCCATCTGTTTGGAAATACCTGAAATAGGTATCTCCTTACTGCCAAATCGGAATGTGGAGAACTGTCTTGCTGCAACCAAATAGTGTATTAATATTTTTTACCAAAGAAAGGCCAATATTCGAAAATTAAAATTATTTTTGTAACCATTTGTTTTTTTATTTTGGGATCGCTTCTAACACCCAATAGTAGTTCTTAAAGTGTTTTATTTAATTTTTTTCAACCAAAAAAATTGTCTCGCATTTAAAGACAATTTTAATCACATAAATAACTTTAATCTACTAATTTTTTATGAACCCCAAACAAGTTTTTACTATCAGAGTCTAGAATTTTTTAATTTTTTTAATTAAAAAACAATTAAACATTAATTGTACCTATCTAATTACTTTACCAAACTATATAGTTTGGTAGAATAATGTATCAATAATTTACAAACGAAAAAATCATTGATTAAATTGCAGAATAGATTTATTTAAAAAAGCACTGCTAAAAAGTTTAATTACCAGGTTAATATTTTATTAAAAAATGTATGTAAAGGGATTTTCTCTATATGAAATTTATTTTGAAAAAAACTAAAATTCTGACCCTTGCTAAACCCCCAAGTTTTTACTATAAAAGTCTAGAATTTTTTAATTTTTTTAAATTAAAAAAACAATTAATTGTACCTGTCTAATTACTTTCGCAAACTATATAGTTTGGTAAAATAATGTATCAATAATTTACAAACAAAAAAATCATTGATTAAATTGCAGAATAGATTTATTTAAAAAAAGCACTGCTAAAAAATTTAATTACCAGGTTAATATTTTATTAAAAAATGTATGTAAAGGGATTTTCTCTATATGAAATTTGTTTTGAAAAAAAAACTAAAATTCTGACCCTTGCTAAACCCTTATAGATTAGAACCCCAAATAAGTTTTTTCTATAAAAGTCTAGAATTTTTTAATTTTTTTAAATAAAAAAAACATAGGAAATTTGTTTTGGAAAAAAAAACTAAAATTCTGACCCTTGCTGAACCCTTATAGATTGGAAAAACAGTGGTGGGCATTGCCCACTATTTATAAAATATTTAGTTATTTTATAATTATTAGATAATAATAACTAAGTAGGTATTTAAATTATAAATTAAAATTTAAGTTAAAATTAAATAAAAATCCTTAAGACTAAGCGAATGAGTCATACAATCATTCAAATGGCCATAACTTTTAAAATTGAGCTAAATTTTTAAAATCCAAACGGGGTTTTGGTCTCAAATACTAATGCTCGACCCCACTAGATCGCATCTGGTTATGTTTTATGAATTGTTTCAAAAGTCAAAAATTGTAATTCAATAAATTTAAAAAAATTAAAATAATGCATAATTTAACATTATTATAAAAAAATTTAAATTCATATAACCATTTTTTTAAATTCTTATCTGTACCCTATTTCTTTCTAGCATTAAGTTATCCTAGGTTATTGTAAAGTGGATTTTAATTCTTTCCGCTTGTATACGGAGTACGCCGCTTTTACCGACGTCACCTTTCAGGTGAATGGGGGACCCACGGTGGAGGCAAAATGTGGAGAAGGGAGGCGGCAGAACAGCGGTCGATAGAGCTGCCGCCGTTGTGCCATGAATATTTCATTCCCCCCCTTGCTGCCTAACCTTCTGTCACTTATTCGAGCGACCTCCGGACACAAATGTCAAACATGTAATACAATGTTATTATATTACAAGTGGCGCTAAAGAAGTGTATCAAATTAAGCAATAATTGTTGTAAATTATTTGTGTGAGATCACATTTTAAAGGACAATCGCTGAAACCTATTTGTACAATTTTACAGGATACGGATCTAACTTAATAATTATAAGTCGATTTTAATTGAATGAATGAACGACCCAAAGATTTATTTTTACATTTATGTTAATAAGGGAAGGAAACAGTTATTGATCGGTTCATTAATGAGTTACCTTAATAGCAAAAACGCCTTCTCAAGGATAATAAAAATCATTAAAACTGAACATGCAAAAGCTATAAATAGAAAAGTCATTTTAAATGAAACAGTATCAAAAAAAATCTAAAAAGAAAAATATGCTTTTAAGCCTTATATATGGGTCGTTTTCAAAAAACACCCGCCTTCCGCTGTCCGTAAGTTTGAATTCCAATAACTTTGTTAAAAATTATCGGATCTTATTGATTTACCAAACCAAGTGAAAGCCTAACAAGCCCTTAGTAAACTCTTTCAGAAAATGTTTGTTTAGTTATTTAAGAATAATTTTTTTTTAATTTTGAAACACACATTTTCGCATGTCCCATTAGCGTTTTATATAAAATATTGAATAACCAGAACTTTGTGTTGCTTTATAGCAATCCATAACATCATTAGTTAACAGTAAACAATTTATATATAAAATAATTAATTTTAAACAACTTTTTTTAAATTTGACTCATGTCCCAGACATTTTTTCCATTGCGTTACGTCCGTCGCGTTACCGATAGAATATTAAAAAAACATATATATGGCAACTTTTTTGGCACTCACGTGATCAACAAATGATGTTCGGACGTACGCATTACCCAGCTAAATTTATTTATTCACTCAGGAAGAAGATATCGGTTGAAACAGGTGCGGGTAACGCGAATGTAATAATTGTTTGTCCGCTAAGTTACTCAAAAAAATAATAAAAATAAGGTAAGAAAAAATACTATCTTTCATTATTATATTTATTTTAGGGCACTAAAGCTCATTGAGAGTGATTAATGACTGTAATGTCTTATTATTCTTTTTTAAATATGGTTTCACAAAACTTTTTCCACTGCGTTACCGAGTCCATTATGTTACCTTATGGTAATGCAATGGAATTTAGGGTAACGCAATAGAATTTTCGACAACAAATTTAAAATTATTTGTGATTATAACTCATGATATAGATTACATCCAAGGGAAAATTCCACGCAATATACAAGGACCTTTACCAGCTTATAGTCAAAGAAAAAGGGTGTCTACAATTTAGAAATCTAAGTTGTTATTCTGCAAGCACCACTACGAGGGGAGGGGAGATTTTGTTTATGCATTACTCTAAAATCGTACCACCCTTTATAGTTTCTTGTTTACGTTATCTGATTAAGTCCTTTGTGTACCCCAGTCCGTTGTAATACCAATGTCTATTTCGTTACTTTTTTTTGTTAAAAAAAAATACTTAAAATGATTTTTATACACTATCACTTGGTAATACGTGTTTTAAAAGTTAGAGTTTAACTCACTAATTCAGTGACTAAAAGAAAATATTAATTGTATTGTTTTTTTAACAAAGAATCGGAATGGTTTCTTTTAAAAAGTAACCTAACGAACATACATATTTAAAAAAAGCATACAATTTTTAATAAAAAATAAAATAAAAAATTGGAGTCAAAAGTTTGTGAACTAAGTACATTTTATTTTAAATTATTTTTATAACAACTTTTTTTATTGAATTAAATTTTGGATTCCAAATTGGTAACACAGTGGAGATATATAAAGCTAGCTAAACACATTTTTATGAAAAAAACGTAAAAAAATTAAAAAGTGCACTCCCTGTCTTAAATTTAAACAAAACTCTAAACATTTATAAAAATCCAACCAAAAGTCAATTTAAGCAAAAAAATATTTGATCTTCATTTTCCTGAAAGCGGGTGTTTCTTGAAAATGACCCATATTTACCGTTCATTAATTTTTTTTATATTTAAAAAAATAATTAATTTATATAATTTATATGCATTAAAATTTTTACTTTAAAATGAATGCTATTTATGTATGTGATAAAAAGAAGAAGAGTTTTATTTAAATCAATTAATTCTAAATTTTGTTAATATTAAGTAATAATATTTGTGTTTCAGTTTTGTATAAAAATGATTTTAGGAGTACTCCTAAAATAATTTTTATACAAAACTGAAAAACAAATATTTTTTAATATTTGATATATTACAAATATTAATATTATTATTATATTTTACTTTTTCTTAATTTTAAAAATATTGCAGATTAATATCAAACCGTTTTTACCTGAAACTCTCAATCTGCATCTTATTTGGATCAAAATAAATTTATTCCGATGGCAAAGCTTTGCTGTTTAATATGTAATGTCTCAAGGCTCTAATCGCATCACGTAAAACAATCGCTGACAGCCTAAAATCCCTCTTTTCAAACTTTGATCATAAAAATACTTTATCGAAGAGATTTAGGTAGATCTCTAACAACTTTAAATTTAAAATATTAAACGAGTTTATTTTCTGTGGTTCCGTTTTAGTATTAATCAATTAAACAGAATGCTGTAGCAGATATATGCAATTTACTAAGAAATGTACTTTTTTGCTGTTTTGTTAATTTGCGTTTCTCGCATAAAACAAATTAAAATTTTCTTAATAAAATAAAAATCTAAACTTAATATGAATATTTAAATTAAGTTTTAAAAACATATTTTTATGAAATACGCAATACCTTTAGAAGCCTTCTAAAGGTATTGCTCTAATAGAAGGTGATTTAAATACATGACATATTAACAATACAATTTCATTACTTGATTTGTTGGTGTTTTTAAATTTTGGATCCACAGAATTAAAAAAAGAATACATATATCTCCTAACTATATAGTTTCCTAGGTATATTATATACCTATATTATATTTATATCTATTATTCACATCCATGCTATGAAGTTAACTTAACCCTGGAGTGGGCGCGGAGTCTGGTAAGTACTTACCAATATTTTTACCAAATTCAAGTAAATTAATACAATTATAATATCTAATAGTAATTAGAATATTATTAATAATAATAATAATGTATTGTTAAGTGGACGGAGAAATAGAAAAAAAAACGAACATCTTTTAAAAAATATCATACCCTTTATCCAAAAATAATTACCTAATATACAGGGTGTTTCATACCAGGAGGCGAAAAATGAAATTCTATATTCAAAACGTCATTCTAAATAAAAATCTTTAATACTTTTTTGTTATATCATTTTTCGTTTTCAAGTTATTCGAGTTCAAAGTTCAATTCAAACAATGAAAGGATAACAATATGCAATAATGGGATTCATAATTCTAGCAACTAAAATATACATCCATGGAAACGTATAAGTATTTAAGTTTATAATACAGTTCATTTTTTTTATCTGGACTGCGGCAAAGTTGCAAACTTAGGGGTTTAATTGGCAAATATTTCTATTATATTGGCAGCTATAAAACTAAATTAATATTTGTGGTTAAGAAATCAAAAAATATAACCTTTTAAAAGGTTTTTGACCAAAATAGTATTTCGTTATTGTCCTGTAGGATAATTATTTGTGCAGAGACGTTTTTTAAATCACATAAATACGTTGGAGTTTGATATCCCTCTGCAGAGGGACATGTTTAAATTTAATGATTTGACAAAAACTGTCAAATTATGTAAAACAGAGATACCAATCCTAAAAATACTAATCAAACTGACATAAACAACCAACTTAATAATAAAACACTAGTCCAGATAAAAAAAAATAACCTTATGTGGTCTTCTGCCTCATTTAAGTAATACAACCTGTCAGTTTATTGCTAATATGTCAGCAAGAATTATTGATTGACAATTGACCAATTTGTAGTTACTATAATATACTATACTATTTATTTTTATCTGTAATATTACAGGACATTTTCAAAAACATGGCCTTCAGCATTAATACAAACTTGACACCGTAAAACAACAGAATTGTAAACTCGTCCAAAATCTTGTACATTTTGTATTTGCTCCGCCGCATCTATTATTCTTTGCATAAGCTGCTCTTCTCGATGGTAGTTTCGACTGCATAGACAAGCTGTTTCATGTGTCCTCATAAATAAAAATCAAGCGGATTTAAATCCGGTGACCTAGCAGGCCACAATATTGGGCCACGTCTACCAATCCACCTTCCATTGAAGTTGTTATTCAACCAATTCACTACATTTCTACCAATATGGGGTGGTGCCCCATCGTGTTGAAACCACATTCGATTTAGCAAACCCACAGGGACATCTTCCAGCATTTCATTAAGTTCATTTTGTAAGAACATTAAATAAGATTCGGCATTTAGTCTATTGGGAAGGACTATAATTGGCAGAATTCGCCCGTTAAAAATGCCACCCCAGACATTAATTGAAAATCTCTGTTGGAAATGTCTCACTCTCATAGCATGTGGATTTTCCAACGACCATATATGGTATACATGTTCATTATGGGTATTATTAATACCATCTCTGGTAAATTAACTTCATCTGAGAATACAATAGAAGAAATAAAATTTGGATTTTGCTCATGTTGGCGAAGCAGCCATTGACAATACAGAAGTCGTGGCTCGTGATCATTTGGCTGCAAATGCTGAACATTTTGCTTATGGTACGGGTGCAATACTTCTCGGTGTATGGTTCTCCAAACAAAGCTATGAGAAACTTCCAGCCTACTAGCAATACGTCTGGTACTAATGCCGGGTTCGTTAAGTACAGCGTCAATTACTTGCTCTTCTTGACCAGCATTGTGTCTGAAGTTCGCACCTCCTGTATGCTTGCTTCCAATACCATTTCTTTGGAGTCTTTGATATGCGTCTGAAAATATACGGCGGGATGGTTGTCGTTTATTTGGAAATCTACGCAGATATTCTCGGGAAGCTGCAGAAGCATTTCCATTTGCGTACCCGTAAATAAAAACAATGTATGCATATTCTTCATTCGTAAATTCCATTTTGTTTATAAATTTACAATAAACTGACAGGTTGTATGACAAATAAGCATAGAAAAACCACAAATAAGGCAGAAGACCACATATACGTTTCCATGGATGTATATTGGTTGCTAGAATTATGAATCCTATTATTGCATATTGTTATCCTTTCATTGTTTGAATTTAAAACTTTGAACTCCAATAACTCGAAAACGAAAAATGATAGAACAAAAAAGTATTAACGATTTTTATTTAGAATGACGTTTTGAATATAGAATTTCATTTTTCGCCTCCTGGTATGAAACACCCTGTATATAAATAATATATATAAATAAGCATCAAGTAACCTCGTACATCGAGGAAATAGAAATAATAATAATAATATTAATCACTATTTTTTAAATTAAGGTGCGTCGACTGCTGCGGTCATTGGCACCATAACTGGAGAGGAAAATCCTCATGGACATCCTAACAATACACAGAGTAGTGCTTGACTCTTACCAGCTAAAAAACCATCCCTGGCTAGATTTATCGAATAAAACTTTAATATAATACTAAACCACAAAACATCCCAAAAAAAGTCATCAAATAAACTGGTAAGTATGATAAAATAAAATGATATAGAATAAGATGGGACTGTATCCCAGATGTTAACCTAAATTTTATTTAAAAATCCAATTTTACTAAGAAAAATAAGACTTTTCTCAAAATGAATTGAATTATATTCAAGCATTTCTTTTAGTTGGACATTAATTTTACTATGGTTTACTCTTTCCTGATGTAAATATAATAAAATAAAATGATATAGAATAAGATGGGACTGTATCCCAGATGTTAACCTAAATTTTATTTAAAAATCCAATTTTACTAAGAAAAATAAGACTTTTCTCAAAATGAATTGAATTATATTCAAGCATTTCTTTTAGTTGGACATTAATTTTACTATGGTTTACTCTTTCCTGATGTAAAGAGGGGCATTCAACAAGAATGTACCTCAGCACCTTCCAGGAGGTAATATTTGGTAAGAATCATAATATCCATAATATTATTTAAAAAAGTCTTCTTTTCTGTCCATTACTCACTCCATTTCAGTATAATCCTATCTTTAATATTTTTTGTAACTTGAGTCATTTCTAATTTTAGGCGTTTAAGATCTTCCAAATATTTAACAGTCCAGGGTAGATTATTCGGAACAAATGAAGAGTCGTCAACCGGCATGTTTAGGTACAATTCATCAAGGGTACGATGTCAATAGTAAGATAAGGATAACAAAATTGTCATTTGTAAGATAGTGCCAATAACAATCTTATGTTTTCCAGGAACATAATACACAGTAAAAAAAATCAACTCTAAGCAACACTAATTAGAGTTCACACAGATCCACACTAAATAGTGTTGTTTTATAACACTACAATTAGAGTTAATTTGTAGTGTAATTTTCCCCCAGTAAGCAAGTATGATTTAACACTACACTGTATTAAAAAGTGTTAATTTACCTAAAATCGTGTACTTCTATACTTCCTGGGTAAAATCCCACTTTTGTTCAGTGTAAATTAACACTACTTTGGAAAAGTTGTAATTTTATAAAGGTACTTTTACTCTTTTAGTGCAAACTTCTAGTGTAAATTAACACTATTACTTGCGTAAAACCTATTGGTGATAGTGAATAAAACGAAAAGGTTAATAAAGAGAAACATAATTTTATATTTAAGTCGTATGGCTGGCTTAAGCAAAATGGTTCCTTAAAACGTAAAAGTTTTAGATCAATGCAATGTTTTACTGGCTGTCAACTTGTAAGCAATGAGTTATCTTAAGAATTCATCAGTAATCCATTTTTCTGTTATAAAAAACGGGTGGTCCCATTGGTAGAGAGGCGTCAGGCGGCTGTATGTCGGGGACTTACCACACGTGTACAAATTTTTCATAATATTAATAAAAATTTAGGTATAGGTTAATATAAAAACTATTACGCTTGAAAATAAAAAGTAAATCAAGTGTGTATGTATTTATTATTAATGTTACAAGTACCCGACCTACTGCCGTAAATTATAGTATAAGTAGGTATAGTATAAGTATAATATAGGTCGGGTATGGACATCCTTTTGACATATTGGTATTTATTGAGTATTAAGGCTTAAAGAAAAAGGAAGTATAATACTTACCAAAAAATAAGAAAATCCTCTTATGGATTCACCGTAATTAAAATCTAACTGTACAAAAATGCCACACTTCGACAACGCGGTATCTCCGGATATACACTGCGTAACCAAAAATTTTAAAACGCATTTCGGATATTACCAGTTTTTTCAGTCTTTTTTGCCACTATTGGTGTAATTTAACTTTAACACTTCGACAACGCGGTATCTCCGGATATACACTGCGTAACCAAAAATTTTAAAACGCATTTCGGATATTACCAGTTTTTTCAGTCTTTTTTGCCACTATTGGTGTAATTTAACTTTAATTGTAATAGTAGGGTAAAGAAAAAAAAGCTCTTAGTAACATCAAAACAGACAAAGAAATTGGCATGCACTGTAGTGTACATTTTGCCACTATTTAACACATTAAGGGGTAATAATGTTCATTTTCTTTAAATGTGTTTAATAAAGTTAATAAGCACTAAATGCTACCTAGTGTATTTTGTAGTGTAAATTTTACACTTACAAATCAACTCTAATATTTTTACCCCTACACTAAAAAATTTACACGGGCAAATTTTTTTACTGTGTACCGGATTCTACGTGAAGATTATGCATAGGTGTTGTTGGGAAAGCTCTTATAGCATATCGTATTCCCATTGTGTATTACATTAAGTGGACTTCGGAGCGGACCCATATACAACGGATACAACCCATTTTTACATTATATTGATTTTGTTTTTGCGAAATGTTTTAAAAATATTTTTTTTTACTTTCGCTTACCTCTGATAGTTTATTTGTGTATTATAGTGATTTTGTATTTTTCATTTTAAAACAATGTTAAAAAAATTTAAACAAATAACAGACACACTAGCTAAAACAAAGAAGTTATACTTAATACATTATATATAAAATTATAAAAAATTTAAATTATAAATCTTTTAATTATCGTTAATGTGGTTAATATAATTTTATAAATTATATTGTTTATATGTGTATAGATTATTTATTAACAGAATTATAGTTTTTTTCAAACAAGATATCACTCAAATAATATAATGTCGCAGCCTTTATATTTTGTTACAATATTTTTGTTTTTATGATTAGGTACATTTCTTGACACTTTTTATTACCCAAACGTAACTCACAAAATTTACTAAAATATTTTAATCTTTTAAAGACATTGTCAAAATAAAAATTATTTTATTATTAGTTTGCTCTTAAAAAATAGTATAATTAAAACGTTAAAATATTGTGACTATAAGAAACATACCTACTAATGGTTTCGTAGCAATTCTTGTAAATAATGCAATGGAAAAAATATTGAAAAACTACCTTATTATTAATATAAATAATTTTAAGTTTAAATACCCAGTTATTATTTAAAATAATTTTTTTTTTTATTTTTATACAAAGAAAGCTATATTGTTTGAGTTTTAAACAATATTAATAAAAAATGTAACGCATACTTTCATATGAACCTTATAATGTAAAACATAACAAATTGAAAACCCCTAAAACATCTCTCGTGCCTCGTCACAGTTTTCCAGCTTAAACTCAAAACTATGCAAATATAGTTCCAGATAAATTAGCCGCTCCCGATTGGTCCCAAGGGTGTGACGCTGCCCCATAGCCGCCAATTGTAGGAGGGCAGTGGCGCGCTTGCGTTTCGGGGTCCCGCCCCCGGGTGGCGAGCTCCGTCGGCGGCAGATCATCCGCGCGCTGCCACACAGGAGCGGTCCCGCAGTCGAGCTCCCAAAAACCGCCAGCGAGTGCACCAGCTCTACGGAGACGTCATCACCGTGGATACACCAGGGCGACAGAACGGGCCGCCGGGTGCTGCCCCAGCGCTCGGCTTAAATATTCGAGGATTTTTTACCACTAGGATCGGACAAGCCCTTCCTGACACAGGTAAGAAATTTATATTAATTTTTTATTAATTAAACGTTTATATTTAACAAAACAAAATTAAAGGCTTTTTGTGTCAAATTTAAAATGGTAGCCAAATAATTTCGCATATTTTATATACACATGTATTAAGTTCATTAATATTAACGAAATAGAGCTTTTTATTATACATACTTACGTGCTTCTTTCTTTTTTGTTAATTTCGTTATTATATAGTTTTTTAAAACAATATAAAATATTGATTAACCATCATCTAAACAAGATGGCTGACCACATCTATCTTATTCAAGATGGCGGCAATCAATAGAATATTACGGAATGAACTTAAGCGTTTGGTAATTACATATATAATTGTTTCATAAATTTAATTTATTTTAATTTATAAGTTTAATACGAATTATATCTACATTACTTGACCCCAAAAGGTTGCCTGGCTTATACTTAAACTTAATTTGATTTTTATTTTAATAATAAACTAATTCATGGTTTTAAAAAATATTTTTTTGCGTGTAAACCCTCGCGATCCTATTCTGTCGTGGGGTGCGGGGGGTTAAGCGCAGTGCCTCCCCACCCGGCGATGTTAATAGAAAAAGTAAATAAAATATTGTTATTGTATGTTCAGGTTGATCCGATGGCACTGCGCTTCCCCACCCCCGCCAGTATTCGGCCGTTTTAACCATCACCGTCGAGAAAACTGTTGTGATTGTTGGCGGTGAGATTAGTCAAAGGATTGGCGGTAAGACTGACTTGTCAATAAAGCAATCAAGATGTCGAGAAGAATCCCGATAATCAACATGGAATACGCAGAACTGAAGGAAGTAGTGTGGGCCAAGCTGCATGAACCGCGAACACAACGTAAGCTCGTGCTGGTAATAGTGTCGATAGCGTTACTTCTAGATAACATGTTGTATATGGTAATAGTGCCGATAATTCCGGATTATTTGCGTTACATCGGTGCGTACGTAGACGAACCGTTGCCGGGAAACGTGACGGTGCCACCAGGCATGCCGATGAAGCACGACCATCACGGCCAGGACTCGGCTACCGGCATCCTATTCGCTTCGAAAGCGATCGTTCAACTGATGGTCAACCCGTTTTCCGGGGCCCTCATAGACCGTATCGGATACGATATCCCGATGATGATCGGTCTGACGATAATGTTCCTCTCGACGGCGGTGTTCGCCTGCGGCCGCAGCTATGGTCTCCTCTTCTTCGCCCGAAGCCTACAGGGAGTGGGATCGGCGTTCGCGGACACGGCCGGCCTCGCCATGATCGCCGACCGTTTTACCGAAGAGAACGAACGATCAAAAGCGCTCGGGATCGCCTTGGCCTTCATCAGCTTCGGATGCCTGGTGGCGCCCCCTTTCGGCGGGGCGCTTTATCAGTTCGCTGGCAAGGAGATGCCCTTCCTTATACTCGCATTCGTGTCCCTCATGGACGGTTTCATGCTGCTTCTAGTCATGAAGCCTATAAAGGAACAGATCAAGGAGTCGCAGATGGTGAAGCCACCTTCTGTGCCGATTTGGCGGCTATTTATGGACCCCTACATCGCGGTATGTTCCGGTGCACTGATGATGTCCAACGTCGCTCTGGCCTTTTTGGAGCCGACCATCTCGCTTTGGATGGAGGACAACTTGACCACGGAAAACTGGAAGATTGGCATGATATGGCTACCGGCATTTTTTCCGCACGTCTTTGGTGTCATACTTACGGTCAAAATGGCCAAAAAGTATCCACAATACCAGTGGGTCATGGCAGCCGGTGGCTTAGCTTTAGAAGGACTTTGTTGCTTCATAATTCCATTTGCCACTTCTTACAAAGGCCTGATGATTCCAATATGCGGCATCTGCTTTGGAATAGCCCTTATAGATACGGCCTTGCTACCCACTCTTGGCTATTTGGTCGACGTGCGTTATGTTTCTGTCTATGGAAGCATTTACGCCATAGCCGATATATCTTATTCAGTAGCGTATGCGGTAGGGCCTATCATAGCAGGCGGAGTAGTAGAGGCAATAGGATTTACAGCTCTAAACGTAGGCATAGCTATTTCTAATCTCATGTATGCACCGGTACTTTATTACCTTAGAAACATCTACGATTTCAAACCATTCGAAAATGAGGCTAATATTCTAATGTCCGACCCACCTAATAAGGAATATCAAACGTATTCCATGCAGGAACAAAAACCCATCTCAGGAGATGTCCAAAACCATCTTGAATACAAACAACAAGAAACAAGTTTGGACAACAATTACCAACATTCCTATCCAGAACAGGGCTATCAGCAGCAGGATTACCAGCAAAATTACACTCAACAAAATTATCAACAAGAAACTTCATATCAGCAACAGCAGCCTCTGGAACAACCTGCTAGACCACCAGCCAGAGTATTGCCTCAGCAACCAGAACCGCCACAGCAGGCAAATCCCTTTAGGCCTGCGGAAACTCAGGCGACCGGCAGAAACCCGTTTCGGCAAGGTTTTTAAACGATGTGTGAATATTGTATATTTTTTGTAGGTAACCAATCGATAGTTACGACTTAATAAAAGGTTAAAGTTAAAGTTTATAAAATAATTTTTACCGGTGTAGGTTTTATACAAATTAGCAAGTTGCAATTGTTAATAGCGTCAATTCTTTAGCAGCAAAAATTTAAGATTTTCCATCCCAATCATTGGTTAAACAAATTTAACTTTAATTTTTTAGGTTTTGCTATATATTTTGAATTAATTATTTTCTTATGTATATATCACACCACCTTGTTCCTTTTTTGTTGTATATATATATATCGGCTGATATAAGAGTAATATATTTAGATGAGTTTTAAAGAAATATAATAAACATGGTGAAAATAATACTTCTATATGCATAATGTAGGGTATTCCTGTGCCTATAGTTAGTTTCAATTATAATATCATTGACTGAGTTAAATTTCTTTAAAACTTATCTCCTATTAGATTTAAGGTTTAGAGTTAAGATTTTTGTTTGAGTTACATTACTTTTAATAATTAATCAACTAAACACATCACATACATATCAGAATCGAAAGATTCACTAAAAATATCGTGATAGGCTGGCTCAGGTCAGCCAACCTTAAGTAAGTGTAGATTTAAGATAATTTAGGAAAAACTTTTTGAAAATCCATGAAAAATAAGAATGCAAAAAAAATTAATATATAATATATGGCAACAACATGACTGTATGGAAAAATATTTAAATTGTCGTGGATTTTTTGTTGAGTTTATTAAGGTTTAAGTCACAAGTAGCCCGCATCACTGGCCCCATCTACTCCTTCCCGTTTTTGTACATTATTTGGATTTTATTGGAACACTCTCAATAGGTCAATTTTCTAATGTATACAATGCGCATGCAAAATAACTTATTTTGCTATTAGTATATATACGTTTGGTAACCAGAAAAATTGCTCATGCTGTAGATATCTTGTAAATGTATTTATCAAAAAAGTATTTATGCATAAAAAAGTCATATATTTAATATTTGTATGTACCTAAAGTTTACACATATATTTTCAATAAAATAGAGGTTAATATGAAATATAAAGGACTTACCTAACTAAACATATCCATTAGTGTCTGATGTGTAACTTTAAATTATCACATGCATATCAAGCATATCGTAAACATATCAATATATCTAAAAACATATCAAATACATTGTGCAAAATAATGTATTAAATATTTCTTTGGGAATATATATATAGTAAATAGGCTTTTAAAAATTAAAATGTAAACAAAGTTTTTAAAAAATCTATTTTCCTTTTAAATATTTTTCTTTTTTTGCTAAGATTCAAACAAAAAGAGAACTAATAAAATCCGACTGCTGATATAGCTTTAGCTATACTAAAAACATGCATGCATAATATATGTGCATGCGTAATACACATTGTGTATCACTTAAATTAAATAAAACTGCTTATAGTTATAATGGATATTAGAAAGGAGCAATAATATAACTTATAAGCCTGTTTATTTGACCAAATAACTAACTCGTTTACCAAAATGTACATCGAATGGTAGATGAAAAATATATGTATACTTTGTATTATATGATAAGGTGCCTGTTGTAGATTACACCTTTATTAATGTTGCTTTTTATGATAACTGTGGAAATATACTCGTAACTAACCTCTTCCATAAACATGATGCTATTAGAAATTTGAGTGTATAATGTTTACAATAGCTTTACTGATAATTGTTTTGAAAAAATACTAATATTTTTTTAAAACATCCATCTTGATTATATTCTTGTTTTAAACCATATAACTGTATTAAAAGAAGCAGCAACCATTTCTTTCTTAAGTTAAGTTGTAAATTTTAGTAACAACCCTTAACTTCTTAATGTAAATGTAACATTAATAAAAACTGGTTGCTGCCCTACAAAACATTATAAGTGTTAAATAGCTGTATAGAAACTTTAATTTATTTTGCCCTTGTTTTGTAAAGTTGGAAAATTTTGTTTTAATCTTGTTTTGTAAAGTACTGACAGTTTAAAATGTTAAATATTATTGTATGAATGACATATATTAGAATGTAATATATATCGTGTAGTAATAGAGCTGTTAGGTTTAGGGAGTAAATGTTATTAATTAAACTCATCACGCATTATTTAAAAAATAATAGTGACGTGTATTCCAATATGTTTTTGTAAAGTGTACTGGTTTTATAACCTAAGGCTCTAACTGATTCCTCATTATATAAATGTTATATTTTATTTTAGTTAAAATTTGTTAATAGATAAATGAAACAGTTTTAGCCTGAATAATATCATTAAACTGAAATTGTCAAAATTCTGAATGGGTCTATTAAAATTTATTGTTATTCAACAAACTTGTTTTACTTGCTTTCGAAATTTTGCGAGAACCTCTTATTAAATTATTTTCTAATGACTAGAAAGGCGTGGTAACAAATAGGAATAACGGACCTGAAATTTAAATTATAATAGACGGAAAGTTCCCTGCAGTTCATTAAACGAAGTGCTTAAAGTTCAACATAAAAATACCTATTTACAAGTGAAATGTTTTGAAATTTAACGAAGCAAAACTTTGGAAAGCTTGACATGTCGCGCTGTAATTAGACTAATTTACTACAGACCTTGGTCCCTTTACCCACCAGAGAACGTCAATGTTGAAGGGGAGAAGGTTTTCCTTAAATAAGAACATAACATACAGGGTACTCTGAAAGAAACATTTTATATTTAATTCATAAATATATTAAAACAAGTTTCCTAATAATTATATACGTGACGTTCACGTTCAATTTTTAAAAACTACAATATTTTTTACTAAAAACATATATTTATTAAAAATATAAAAGACATTGTTCATACAGTCATAAGCATGAAATACATTCTTTAAACAAAATAGAAAAAACTGATTAATCTTACACTCATAAACATAAAATACCTACATTGTTTATACCAAAAAAATAATAAAACATTAATATTACACTCAAAAAAATTTCCACCTTTGAAAATTTGCAGCCGTAGGCTATGGCCTAGCTAGCCTATTTAGAAATCCGCCTCTGTATATCTGTGAAGAAATAAGAAGGATATATTCTCCTCCCAAAGACTAATTTTTTTTTTGAAAATAATGCGGTAAATATTTGTCAATATGTTTTAAGACTTTAAGACAAAACCATCCTAATATTGAATTAATCCCCGTGTATTTGAGCCAAAACCTACATATATGTGTGTTTTATCTATGGAGGACATGACTTGCTGACAAATAGGTTTTGGGTCAAATGCACGGGGATTTATTCAATATTATGATGCTTTTGTGTTAAAGTCTTAAAACATATTGACAAATACCGCATTATTTTCTTACAAAATTTTAATCTTTCCTGTTCTAAGAAAGCGATTTACAGAATGATAATATTTGCATGAAATAATTATATTTTAGTCGATTTTAGCTTATTAATTAGATATTTATCTTTATTAGATTCCTAATTGATTAAAATTTTAAAAATAAGAATACATTACCTATAAAATTAAACGTTGGAAAAGCGTATAAAAAACACTAACTTAAATTTTGGAAATAAATGAATAATGTCCCAAAGTTTAAGCAGTTCCTTTATGGTACCTACCCATAATCTCGATCTATAACACTATGGTACCAATAATCTTGATTTATAACCATAGAAAAAGTATAACACTAGTTATTTATTCGCGCGAGATGAACACCTTTGATGAAAACGAAGTACTGTCGATGCGACGCTTGGACTGATACTAAAGGCCCCTTTTGTTGCAAGATCTATCAAATTACCAAGTGATTTCCGACAAATTCTTTGTTCTTAAAATAAAGTTATTAAAAAGGATTTATCCAAAAGAATCCAGAGTTTGCCTCAAATGCATCAGCTATTTTAGCCAAATGCCAAAGAATTTGCAAAAAGTTAACTTTCTTTAAACTAAAAGAAAAATTTTCAAATGAATGGATTCTTTTGCCTAAAATAATCCATGTTTATCAGTGTATCAGAAAGACATGAATTGAAGATTTATTTTTTCTAAATGCCTTTACTTTGCCTTAAAGTAATTAAATGTCAAAAAAATCTAGAATTACACCTAAATGCAGCAATTATCTTATTCGAAGAGAAACGGATTTAAAATAAATACAGTTTCTTTGAATTGAATCAATATTTTTTAAATGAATAGATTCTTTTGCCACAATGATACCATTTTTATCAGTGTAGTATTATTAAATATTAAAGTATACTAAGGTGGACTAGTGATCAGTGCTGCTGATTACAAGCCGAGAGGTTGTGAGTTCGAGTCCCACATTGGTATGGTTGTTTATTTGTATTTTCCTATTGTGTATAAGTAAGGTAAATTTAAGCCCGCGGTCCGTTCCTACCCCTAACCCGAACAAGCCATCAGTTGTTTTCTGGGACTTCTTAGGAAGTAAGGGTGGAACTTAATTTGTAATTTTTTGAATATTTTTGCTAAATTAAAAATATCAAAGGAACAATTTTTAAATGTATTAAAAGTATCATAGAAGATATTTAAAATTCGATTTAATTGTTATTTTATTAAATAAGCAGATATTTTTAATTCAATGTGATATTTTTAATATAGACTGATTGAGAGTTTGGAAATAAAAATTAAATCAAATTAAAAATATCCCTTATGATATTTTAATTACATTAAAAAACTTCTCCTATGATATTTTAAATTTAGCGAATTAAATAAAAATATATGTTGAGCAAAAAAATACAACTATTAGAATCAAATATTTTAAATTAATTAAATTAAAAATATCAATTTGGCATAAAAATTAAATCTAATTTTTAATTAAGCGAAATAAAAATGTGTGTTTACCAAAAAAATACAAATACACGGTGTCCCAGAACATGTGGGCAATATCCCGGATTCAAATAGAACACATAAAAATTATATGTCAAGTTCTTATAATTTTTTTCTCCCACTGTCCCCTCTACGGAAATGCGGTCCCATAACAGACACCCCTTGAAATTGTTTTTTTTTTGAATAACTACAAGGTGGAATTAAATAATTTTAAAATATATTCTTTTCTAGAAAAGTTTTCTTAAAATGGGCACTTTTAATCACATTTGGCTTATTTAGTTTGCCAGGGACGGACTTGCTCTAACAGAGTAATGCTATTTTTTTTAACACCCTGTACTATAAAGGCACACCAATAATATTTTTAGTCAGCTTAAACCTTAAACTAAAAAAATGTAATCTTGATCG